AAGAAATCCTCTTAAATCCAGACCAGTGGGTTTCTTTGAATCTTTTTATGACCCTGTGGCTCAGCAAGGAGACACAATCCAGGAAAACACAGGGAGGGAATTTTCCAGTAAAATGATCATGACTTTAAAAGATACCAACACCCAACTGTGACTTCTGAAGCCACGTATTAGCTTCAGCTGAACTTTAGGATGCTTTGTTGCACACAACTGTACATGTGCATTAAATCTCCCATCTCTTAAATTGTAATCATGTTGAGAAAAGGTCTGTTAATGGTCGGTGTAGGTAGAGAAGAGCTGCAATAAAATGTAGCTGCATACTGTATGTGCATGTGACTATTGTAGTAGGTCTGCATGATATTACAAAAACATGCAATAATGTTCAATATTGTGATGACGATACGACTTGCGATAAATATTCATAAACATACTCTGTTACACACGCAGGGACCATGGACACCTCCACAGCCCGAGAGAGAAGGTGCCAAGCCCGGCCGCAGCCCCTCCAGCTCCGGGGCAGACACCAGGGAGTCATGTAGAGCTCCACTTAGTCAACTTACAAAGTTAATTTGGAGTCTTTACATGTTTGGATTGTGAGAAGTTATTTTTTTACTGTTTTTACTGGCTCTTCTCTGTGTATCTATCATTCACGCTGTGCAGTATGCCAAACATGGCAAACAAAACCAAGCGTGCCGCCATCTCCTCTCCATATATTGTCTAAGTTTACAAAGTCTGTGGTTTTTACCCAGACTGAGCTTACACGTGAGAGACTGATGAGAGAGAGAGAGAGAGAGAGAGAGAGAGAGAGAGAGCGAGTGGGACGGCTGATGAATACGATGCTCTGAAGACTCATTGAGAAAAGTATTGATCATTATGTGATGATATTGTGGCGACATTTCAAACAAATCTTCTTTAAACTGCAGCAAGTCAGAGACTTCATCAGAGAGAGAGAGAGAGAGAGAGAGAGAGAGAGAGAGAGAGAGAGAGAGAGAGAGCAATGGAGTCAGTGTGTTTGTTACTTTTCCCTCAGGTTCTGGGATCATAAATAAGCTTCTTCTATTTTAACAACCGCTCACAGAGACAAATCTGACCCGGGACAATTGGAAAACCGCGAGACGGGAGCGATATTTAAAGGGGGTGGCTCGTAATTCTCTGTTTGATACGTAGTCAAACCACTGCTTTTTATGGCAACATTTTTTTAATGTTTTGCCTTTGTTAATATAATAATAAGAGAAGTAACAGTGGGCAAAACGTATCCTAGACTAATTGAGGCATCAGAGAGGTTTGTTGGGAGGTTGCTGAATTCTGGACTAGTACTGCAGTGGTGGATCTTCAAAATCCTGAAATTGTTTCACCGCTTTCAAAGACTGCTTTTGACTTTGGAGGTCATAGTACGTTTGCGTGTGAGATCAGTGGAGACTTCCTACTTCTTCCCCACGGAGAAACAGACTGTATTAGACTGTGGGGCTCTAAATCATTTAGCTTTGGAGAAGTCATGCGCACACACACACACACACACACACACACACACACACACACACACACACACATCCTCACAACAATGACAGAATTACACTACAGACAAGAGAAGTTTTTAATTTGTAAATATGTAAACCAAGTAATACTTCAAGTTCAAGGAAATGCAAAGGTTAAGTGGTTCTGTTGTTTTTATTTCTCTGCTATTGTATCTGAACTATATTTTTATTTTGAGGGCCAAGTTGAAAATTTCTTCTTCTACTCCTAGATAAACTACAGCAGTGGTCTGTAATTGGGGGAAATCGTGAGTCAAAAGTTGGCGTCAGATCATTTAGCTAATTCTCAGTATCGGACTGAGACACAGACATTCACAGGAGTCATGGGAGTTAACCTCTGTCATAGCAGCAACATTCATAGAATCACTGTTTGGTAAAAGCACAACATTTGTTTTGATGCAGCAGTGTTTGACACTGAGCTGAATTGAGATTTTATTATAAAACATTGTGAGTTTGGGTCTGAAGATTCAGTCAATTGGATAACAGACCTCTTAAATAGCAGAAAATATAACAGCAGTTCAGTAAATCATCATAACTTATATAAAAGGCACATAAGTCAACAGTAATAAAGCAAACTCACTTTCATTGTATGAAAGAATTGATAGAAAATCTTTACCGCAAATGAACACTGCACCATAGAATGTATAGTATATAAAAAAGTCTCGAAGTGGCTAAGCTAGCGGACGTAGTCACACGATGGTGTGTCAGAGGGTCGGTGAACACACCTCTTAGGAAGATATCAGCAAACATTTAGGCTAAAAACATGGTTTGAATGACGCCATTTCAAGTCGAATATGAATGTTTGGGCTTGCGGACACTTGGATGACACCACAAAAACAGTATGGAGGCATGCTGCTTGCTTTTTCGGTTATTTTATTATGTCTGAAGTCTAGGTCGCTGGTTACTTCGATTGTATCAGATTCGGCTTCAACAAAGTTTACCCCTGAGACTCCAGAAGTGTTTTGTGGACTCAAACACCTCACCCACCCCTCCATTGGCATAGTGGTGAGAAGATAGTGAGTTTCGGTGAACTATCCCTTTAATAAATAGCTCACGCAGGTGGGGTCAATAGCCCCCACAATCACCTTGCTCGGATTTCAACCTTGGAGGACCACTTGAGAATTGTTTGTGTGTGCGTCAGTGTCCTTTGAAATGGTTAATTTAGTTAGCAGCATGTGAGTCTGTTTTAATTTTTTATCTTGTTAACAGTGGTCTCTAAATAGCTTTCTGTGGTTTTAAACAGTAGTATTTTGAAACAAAGTTACACATGTAAACTTTTGAGAGTTTCCCTTGGCCTGTATGTATGAGTGACACTGGGAAATGATACAGCAAAGACGTTCGTGAGACCACTGTAATCCAGACACACACACAGTTGCAGGAGAGCAGATGTGGACAGGCTGATTTCTGATTTCCTTCCTCTTACTGCTGTCATAAGACATTGTCTGCTTGTTTGT